TTGAAATATATACTTGTATTTAAATTCTAATTTTAAAGGATACAAAATATTAATTATATTTCAAATAATAAAACTAAGATGTTTTAAGAAATTGACATGCCAACTCAACCCTAGTTAATTTTATTATCCAATCTTTATTTGGGTCACAATATAACACAAATCTTCAATAACTAAATAGTATCATGACAATGTACCAGCAAAATATAATATATATATATATATATATATATAGTATCATGACAACTATGTCTAATAAATAAATATTTTCTTAGAGACATATAAAAGCACCTTCTAACAAAATTTATCGTTAATTCACTATAACTAAAGAAATATAGATATTTATTCAAAAAATTTGTTAAAGGTATAAGAATGTTGAGTGAGAAAATCTCACATCGAATGTATAACAAAAAAATAAATGAGTTAAATATAAGAAATAATATTTCACCTATTGTTAATTGGTTTTAGGTTGAATGTAAATTTTGTATCGAAACTCACATACACAATATTCACATAGTATCAAATATCAGATTTTGTCTTGAGAAGTCTATTGTTAACTCAACTGATAAGATCCAAAGTTAATATCGGACTTGTATGTGAGAGGACATATTAAATCACATGATAAGACCTGACATTTATAATGGTTTTACACGTGAGGGAGACATGTTGAGTGAAAAAATTTCACGTTACATTTTTGCATAAGTGAAATATAAAAGTCTAAAGTACTATTTAATAAATTTCAAAAGTTCAAGGAGCAAGCAACCCCTTGCATCCCTCCCTCTGCTCATTAGTAAAGTAGAAATAGATTTAGTTTGACAACACTACTTGTAGTTGTAGTTGTAGTTATAGATTTTTTGATTTTTTAATATCTCAAAAGCATATAAAATATATTTAATAATTATTTTAATTAATGTTTTATATTTTAAAATAATAAAATATATACAAATTAAAAAGTAAAACACAAAGAAATAATGGCAAACGTAGCCATGGTATTCCTTACTCCTTAGCCCATAAAAATTGGAGACGTGCTCCAAGTTCGTGATCTGAGACTCGTATCTCCTTCCCAAAATTATGAGCATTAAAAAAAAAAAAGAAAAGAAAAGAAAAGAAAAGAAAAACCACTATACCCATCATTCTTGTTGATAGATGTTGGGACTTTGGGGAAAGCTTGTATGATCAGCCCAAACTTTCATTCCTTTTTATTAAATCCCCTTTTCAGGTTACCATGTATCCATATTTTGATTGGCCAAGGACAAAGGTCATTATGTAGCAGGCTACCCATTCCATTATTACCTATAATGATTGTTCTTGTTTTCTCCTTTTTGATATATATCTTTGACATAATGTTCATTATGAACCGAACCTTTAGGCCTAATAGTTCGACCCCAAACCTTAAGTGCTTGGGTGAGGTGGTCGGAGTTTCGAGCTCCACCACCATTGTAAACTCCATCAAAAAGCGGTCTGATGGCCGCGCGCCTCATTTGAGGGGGTGGTTTTTTTTTTCCGGTTTAAGGATCAGTTGCTAACAACTAATTCCTACTAACCTCTTAACCATTACCCTTGTAAAAAAAAAAAAAAAAAACATAATGTTCATTACTTTCTTACAATGATATATATATCTGTTTTCCCAAAAATTCTAAAGCAACATCACAAACGGAAAATTTGATGCGAGGTGTCCCGCTTGTTTTTCTATAAAATAAGAAAAGATAATTTTTCCAATGATTCTCTCTTTCCTTGTGGTCGACCTATGTACGGATAGTTGAAAGAACATTGGTTTAAAGCTGTAATTTGCACTTACAGACAATTGCAAGAGGAAGGGACACATTCTTGTAAAATGGGTTACTAACCTATCTTGAACAGCTCCAAGGATTTAAATACTACTGTGAATTAAAATTAACAGATAAAATTGAAAATTAAACTACTGCAAAATTAGAAATTTAATCTTAAATAATCATGAAACTAATATAAACAGAGATTAAACTAACATGCTGAAAACTAAGAAGAAGCGTAAATGCCTTATAAGTAATTATTTGAAAAATGTTACTTATTATAAACCTTAAACAAATGTCAGACAGGAAAGAAATAATACCTCGTAAAAATTGAAAAGCTTACTATTCATTACACGAAAGAAAAATTGTAGAAATAACTAAATGAATTAATTTGGCTATTTGAATGCTAAAAATGACCTAAATCTACTAGGATTTATACTGAAATTTGAAATTTATAAGCTAAAATGAGCAATTGCTAACAAGATTTAAGAGTGCTAAAGCTAATTATGAGTTGTGTATAAGGCTGGCCATGTGTTAAATGATTTGAAAAATTACTTTTGTTTGTTTCCTTCAAGCTTGAAACTCCCCACTACCTCACAATTGCACAACGTAGGTGGTTTCTTGAAGAAGATAGATATCTTAGCAGTGGATTAGGTGGTCAAAACTCCTTCCAAATTTTGCCAACAATTCATGTTATCTGCTAGTTCAATCTCTTAATTGATTTACCTCCTAATATAGCAATAACAAGTCTACCTCAATTCAAATGGGCAACCAATGGATAATCCTCATTTATTCTAACTCCACCTCCTATGTGGCAAGTAATCTATTAAGGGCTGCAACAGTAAATCTTACATGATAACATCTCATCCATCTATTATAAAAACAAATGATAAGTGGCATCATTTTAAATTTTACAATTCATAGTGTAAACAATATCCTCCTCATAATAAAGTTGTTTAAAACAAAATTAACGTCAAAAAAATTATCTTATCAAGGGATTTCTAATGTCATTCCTGTTTTAATATTGCATAATAAAGACTAATTCTTATATATATTGCATGCCTAGTAATGGTACTACCCATATACATGATACACGTAAAATGGCATTCATCCCTTTCACATACTAATGGCAACCTTATTCGATTCGATGTTGTAGGTATGGTAGGACCGATAGAAGGCCACTCGAAGACTTTTGAAGGGTAAATGTCCTAGTGCTACAAATGAATGGGGCCCCCAGCCTTCTACTTCTACTTTGCCTTTTCCCCATACCCATTCTCATCCTCCAATAGCCAGCCGCTCTCAATTGGAAAGTGGCAGTGTAACTGCTTTATAAAATTTAAGTGGAAAGTGGCAGTGTAAGTGCTTTAAATTTAAGGGGAAAGCTGGCGGTGGGCTTCTCCTCACATAATAGTCTGGTCGCCTCTTTTAAAGGCCCAGAAGATAAAGCCTCTTGTGGGAAAATTGAGACCCACTTTCATGCCTAATCTATAACCGACGGAAAATAAACATACCATACATTACTTTTGGGATGGTGGAAAAATCAGATTATCTTGTCAGTTAAAATATCAAAAATAATAGTAAAAATTTAAATACTTTTAATAAATTAACACTTAAAGAAAACTTATAAAGATATTTAATTAATTTCATAGAATTTAAATGTGCTGATGCATAATTTTCACTTTTCTCTACTACTTTTATAACTTGTTAATATATATATACATATATATATATACACATATTACTTTTTTTTCATATTTAAATAAAAATAATTAAAGGAGAAGGAAAGGGAGGGAATTTCTCTTATTTTACTTTAATTTTTTTAAAATTTTAATCTAACTAAATCAAGGAAAGAAGGAGAGAGAAAGAAAATGAAAAAATATATATTTATATATATAGTGTCATGTTTTCTAGTTCAAATCGTAAAACATGGATCATTAAATAAGGTGAAACTTCTAATATCAAGAGATCAACTTCTATTTAATAGTTATAGTTATGCAGTTTAATATATTTTTTTTATAATTTAAACTGCATAATACTTATATATATATATATGTATATATATATATATATATATTCTTTTATTTTTTTCTCCCTTGTCTTCACTTTCCCTCCGTTACCTTTAAACCAAACAGGGACTTATCCGTTAGCATTGAAAGTTTTGCCACACTGACTCTTTGCCGAAGGAACAAGGTTGCCCCTTCAATCAAGCCCTCTTGCAGACGTTTATTTCAACTAAGACTCTTGTAACATTTAAGCCTCTAAAATACACGTTTAGACCATTAAATATCAGAGTTAATAATACAGAACACGCGGCCTAATTATGTTGCTGTCTTCTATCTGTAGTTCTATACCATGTGCCAAGGCTTAAGGCTTGTTAATTACTAGCTATTAGTAGTCCATGTAAATTCCTAAAGGTAACTCAATTAATTGCTTGCACTATAAAAGGTGTAGTTTACTCCAATCATCAATGTCCTTAATGGAGAAAAAAGGCAGCGGTTCTAGCTGCACATATTGTTATTAAGGTCATATATATAATTTCATTAATATTTTATTAGTTTTAAATTTTTTTAAACAATTGGTTATAATATCTAAAATATCTATTTATAAATTAATTTCAACCTATTAAGTAATAAATATTAAATTTTTATAAAAATACATGATTGCATCAAAAAACTTCAATTTAGACATTGTACTCATGTTGTTTCATTAAAGTCTTAGTCAATAAAAAATGATATAATTACAATATCATATAATATTATAAATTTATAATATGTACTCATGTTGTTTCATTAAAGTCTTAGTCAATAAAAAACATGATATAATTACAAAATCATATAATATTATAAATTTATAATAATAATAATATTATTATTATTATTATATAATTGATTTTATTCATTCAAGAGTCATTATATATATTTATTCATTTAATGATGCATTATAATTTTATTTATATAATATCATAACTATATCCTTACCGGCAGTCAAATTATA